TTCACTCTTTTCTGGAACATACGCCTATTAGAGAAGTGAACTAACAAAATAATTGTATATCAGGCCGTATTTATGAATTTTTACTTTTAAGTTGTAAGTATGCGTGTGGATGTGGCATGAATAACGAAAGATCGAACAGTTTTTACTCGAAGCCAGAGAGGCTGTCTCGTGAACTGCGTCAACCGGAATGTCGTTTTCAAGCAAAAAGGCTGCATAATGACCGAAGTCAACCATCGCCTTACGGTGAATTCGCTTCAAGAATATCTTGCTCTTGCATTTTCATGCGATATGAAAGTCTTCTCATCAGTTTAATTGCAGATACGAAGAGAAACTTGGTTTCAATGAATCTTCTGAGACAACATTGTTGTGGGGACTTTCATTTTGTATGAAAGTGCTTGAAGAAGAGACTCGTAGACCGATCTCACCAGAAGAGGACGGATGAACCGCGCCGTTTGGCTTCGATACGACGTTCAGGTTGACGCAGTATTGCTCAAATGTGTGTGTGTATGTGTGTATTAACGCCTATACGCAATAGCTGTGGTAATTCAGGGTGATCAAAAAGCTAATTACTGCTAGCTTGTACCCGAAACGAGAGAAGAGGTCTCGTGGACTACGTCAACCTGAACGTCGAATAAAAGCCAAACGACTGCAGTACAGCGGGATTCAACCGCCCTCTTCCGTGGAGCTCGACCTACGAATCTCTTCTTCATGCTCTTTCATATGTAATGAAAGTCCTCCCAACAAGAGTAAATGCAGATATTCAGAATTGGGCCAGTACCATTTTGTTGGGAATTTATTTTATTAGGCAACCGATAATTGATGCCAACCATGATTTTAGATAAAGACATGATTTAACTTTGAAATTCACTGTATCTCATTATCATTCGAAATAGACAACAGTTTTGACGCATTTTCATCGTTCCATCAGAATCCGCAAAGAGATTCCCACTGCGGGTATGTATTTAATGACAGAGCGGGCATATTCGAATTGCAGTCGCAACACGTAGCAATTTGTGCCGATCGGTAAGCGTGTGCTTGTCCCTTATTCTGCAGATCCACAGTCAGAATCCCGCCTAGGCAAAGTCGAAACCACCGTCTAGCCAAAAAGACAATGCTGACCCTTGGGGATGTATATAGAGCAAAGGATTCTTTTAATGCTCTTCATTCTATTGTCAACAGAGGCCTGAGTGACTAAGCATTGAATCAGTTTGCAAGCGATTAATAATTGCATATGAAGTGTATTCACCCTGGTTGTCAAGACCTTCATTTCTTATGTAAGTACATCATGAAAAGATTCGTAGATAAGAAGAGTATCTGGGTTTTGATGAATCTCCTGAGACACGGCTGTTGGGTGACTTTCATTTGGTATGAAAGTGCACGAAGAAGAGATCCGTAGCTCGATCTCACCAGAAGACGACGGATGAATGGCAGAGTGTGAGAAATAACGCCTCGAGTAGCAGAGATGAGGTGACAGGGATCGAGTGAAATACTTGAACCAGGGAGAAAGCAGACTGATCCGAAGGGGAAAAAGGGAAGCGATGCATTTTCACGCCAGCAGTTATGACCTAAGCCACACATGACGTGGGTCGGGATAAGGGAGTGGTCAACCGAGTCATGGGTTTGAAGCCCAAGTTGAGGACGAGTCACGGAGACTGGCATGTGCATGGACATGGACATGGGCATCTGTTGTTCTAAATCCTCGAATATGGCGTGGTCGGGGTCGTGCATTGAAGGCTCGTAGACAGCCAGATTTCTAAAAACCAGATTTTGATTTTTCGTGTATAAATAGAGTTTCGAAACTACCAGTAAATCAGTAGTATGAGATGTATTCACCCAATTTCGTTTAAGCTGATGAAGGACAGCTAGTAGAATTTTCCCACAATCAGATGAGTAGAGCTGGTGTGTACATTGAATTTCGCATAGCATTGCTTTCCCAAAAGTTGTTCTTATTCAGGAACAAGTGGACTGTAGTTTCGACCTCGCATAGGTCTTATCATCCAGTCCTTCATTACGTAAACAAAATAGGGTGAATACCTCTCGATTTACTGATTTACTGGTAGTCTCGATACTCTACTCAAATACGTAAATAAGTAGTGTAGTCGATTTCTATAGCAAAATACGTTTTCTTCATAGGAAATCCCACCAAAGAATATGATATGACAAAAGGGCTGGCCTTTTTTAAAATTCACATTTTCCCTGTGACCCAAAGGGCAATCGTAGTAATGTGGACGAGTGGTTGACGTGTCAAGTTCCCATTCTGCGCTGTCACGGTTCGACTCCCGCTGGGTGTGTTGATAAGACCGATGCGAGGTCGAAACTGCAGTCCATTCCAGTCGGGATGAGAACAACTTTTGAGAAAGCAAGGCTATGTGAAATTCAATGGAAATGTCAGCTCAACTCATATCA